AAGCAGTGGTATCAACGCAGAGTACTTATTCGGATGAGAGCAAACTGATTGAATTGTATCTGACATCTACAGGTTCCTGAAGTACCCAATAACTTAGACAATTTTTCCAAAATTTGCGGAACTTGAAAATTTGGAAATTTTTTCAAGTACGCTTTCAAATGGTTCAGAAATGATTTCATTCCAAATTGGAATAAATTCTATCAAGGTGTTAAGGTCTTTGTAATCCATCTCACTTTTGATTTATGTCATCAAATTGGTGAGATTTTGAAGACAAATCGATACTGTGGGGTCATCGGGCTCAAGCCAGAGCCAGCCTGGTTAATTAGGGCACTATGAGGGACCAAAAAAATCTGGAAAACAGAATTTGGGATTTTGCAGACTATTGAAACATTCTCGAGTAGCTTAGAGCTTACTGCTTCCAAATATCACCTTTAAAATTTGATACAAAAAACGAGAAGAAAGCTACAGCAATCCGGCTTTTTCAACGCGACATGCCGTTTGTATCGTCGTTGATAATTCAAAAAAGAGCCAAGACAAGAGAAAAAGCAAAGTCTGAGTGAACTCATGAGTGAACGAAAAGATGCGGTTTCAAATACTCAATCGAAATTTTGATTAAAGAACTTTGAACTGAGTTACACTAGTCGGCACTTTCTGCGCGACATTGCGTTTAAACCGCCGCTGGCATAGAGCCAAAAAAGCTTGAAAGCAAGATTTCAAAATTTTTAAAAGCTTATTCAGGTAGCTTAGGGGACGCCGATTCCAAGTATCTAAATAGAATCTGTAAGATTCAAGCTGAAGAGAGTTATGGCGGTGCGGCGCTACCAACGCGGCGATGCGTTTATTTCGCCGGAGGTCTCAAAAAAAGATCTTTGGTAACGAGATCTGGAAATTTTCAAGTACACTTTCAGATGGTTCAGAAGGCGCTGATTCCAAATGTTCAAACTAGAATCCGATTGATTAACGTTCAAGCGAGCTATCGCAATGCGGCACTTTCGGCGCGACATTGCGCTTATATCGTAGAATTTCAAGGCGGCAGTGTTGGTACTGTACGAGATACTCGAGATGAAAAAAGCATCCTCACAGGTCTAATAAAACACAAGACGGCTTTTAAGACATCGTGCATTCCTCCTTCCACCATGAGAATTTGCTGTTTCTTTAGAAATGCTAAGGAAAACAAGTATATACCGTGAGTAGGAAGTAGGGGAAAGTGCAGGTTTTCTTCGTACTGTAGGTTGGCTGGTATAGCATACTTCCCTGACAAATCGAGCTCCGATTACTTTTGCCTTGGGATTACGATGACGAAATTAGGTGAAGAGATTTATGAACAGATAATTACGATGCTCAGCAGTGTAAATAATGATTTTTTGGTTGTTGAGATCCCCGAAAGGCCAGCTTGCAAGATGCTTCAGAGTCATTGACACGCAATTTTCCGAAAGTGCGAAGTCCTAGAATGTGGGAGCGGCAATTACCTGCGCTTTTGAGGCATCTCTTAGCACTTATTGCAGGTGTGGAATCAATTCATATTATTCAGACATTTTCCAAATAACTGAAATTGGACCTACTCTGGTACATTCTGCAGTCTTAATCAGCTCATGTTCAGCTCAATATCTAGCAAAGCAAACATTATGAGGCACAATAGGACGCACTCAGGTTTCAAGGTTTCCCCCGTCAAAACATATTTACATGCCTCAAATTTTACCAGCGACTGCTCCGTATTCGGAGGTTGCGACTAGAGGGAAATGAATGATTAGTAATGCAACCTCATGGGACCGATAGATAATGTAAGTTTTGAGAAGCTGTCGATTATGCTCCTCTATAGTATTCGTTGTCGTGGGAGTTATTTTTCTTGGGTTGCCCTTAGATTGCTTTTTTCCCTGGCATGTTTGGGCGCTGAAGGCAACCGATTCATACCTCGAAGTCCAATATATTTTACTCCAA